TCCTCCTAATGCACCCCAGAATACCATTGGCCTTCTTGGCAGCCAGGGCACACTGCTGGCTCATGGTTAACCTGTTGTCCACCAGGACACCCAGGTCCCTCTCCGCAGAGCTGCTCTCCAGCAGGTTCGCCCAAGCCGTCCCTCCAGCTGCTGAGCTGGTCACCCTGCTCCTCCCGCTCAGAAGGGCCGTGGATGTAAACGACATCGATCCGCTCTTCGGTTTGCTTGGGTGTCAGGCATGTAATGTAAATTAATTTCTCTGGAGTTGCTTTCCCCCCTTGTTGCTGCTGTTTATTTGCAGTAATAAGGCTTTTCTGTTCTTCGGCTCTGAGCCCAGCTGGCCCCGAAGGCAGCCTGGCACGGGTTGGTCTTGTAGCACAGCATTGGTTTGGTTCGTGTAGGTTTCTTGATGCTACGTAGTGTGTCAGGGACGTTCCCGGCGTTCCAGCTAGAGTGATGTCGTTTGCTGGGCAGTGAGGTCGTGTCTCCTGGGCTAGAGCGCTCCCGGGGCAGATCGCGATTGGATCGCAGAGGGTGTCGGTGTCGCCACGTGGGATGGAAGGGAACAGGCACACAGAAAACATCCTTGGGTGCAGCAAAGCTTTGGGTTGCGCTGGTGTTTTGAGAGCCCAGCAGCTTCCACAGCTGAGCTCAGAGAGAAGAGCCTGCTCTCTGCGCTTCCCCATGTTGCATGAGAAAAACATCTTGGGGGTCTCTGTAGGGCTTCACGGCGGGTGGGGGGTTGTTTGAGATAATTTATTCCACATCTCAGCTTTTACTGAGCTGAAAGTTGTGAGAGTTTGTCTCTGCTGAGCCAGCAGGACTGGTCAGAAAACGTTGAATTTCTAAAGCCTGCTGCCCGCACCGGTGCTCCGTCCCTCCGAGTCCAGCAGCGCAGCCGGGCGTGCCGCAGCACGGTGCTGACAGATCTCTCCCCTGCGTCCTGCGCGGTCCCGAGGAAGGGGGACGATCCCCTTGGCTCTCCCCACTGCCGTGAGGTTTCCGTTGTCCTCGGCGGGTGAAGCAAGAGGGGGAGAGCGTGAGGATTTCCTGCTCCTGCCGTCGGACTTCGAAGACTCCTGCGGCAGCAGAGAGCTCCCTTGCCTGCGCTTTTTGCCAGTCTCGTGCACTGGTTCTGCCTTGAGCTCCCTAGCTCAAGGCTGGGGACTGACTGTTCAGCTCGCTCTCCTGCAGTTCTTTGAGCTGTGAGAGCAGAAACGGAGCAGGCACTTGCAGGAAGCACGAATGGCTCCAGCAGTTCGTTAATCAACAGAATTTTGAACTTGAGAGCGGGTCTTAGCCAGGCAGTCCAGCCAGCTAAGCTGACTCTCTCCTCTTCGTGGTTCCTAGAGCTTGTTTGTATTTTCCCTTGCAAAGCAGTAAAACATGGAGGCCCCTTTCAGTAGTTCTTCAGCTGTTATAATTCCCAAAGCTTTGGTCTAATTAGCTCCCTATTTTCACTTGGCACAGGCGTAGTGTAGGGGAGGGGTTAAGGAGGCAAGCGTGTCGGAGAGTCAGTGTGGCCATGGCTGCTGCAGGAGCAGGCTCTGATCCCTCCTGTGCAGGAAGGGGCTTGGAGAGGCCGCGACCGTAGCCGTGGGTGGGCAAGGCAGGGTGGTGTCACCTGGGATCTGGTCACTGATAACTGGTGTCAGGGCTCAGCGGCGTCGGAGGGCCGGGAGTTCCCGCGGCGGGCAGTGCCTTCCCGGCTCCCTCGCCGTAGCACAGACCTGTGCTTCAGCTGGAAAACACCGTACAGCAGGTGTGTGGCTCTCGGCTCTGGTGTCTCCAAAAACAGCCCAGGGGGAAAGAAACCAACTGATTCTCCGAGTAGCTTCCTGTGGATCAGTAATCCCAATTCTCTGTGTAACTTCACCGAAATTCTGGGGGCGTTTCACTGACAACGGCAAGTTCAGTGTGTCCTTTATCTGTTGTCCTTTATCTGTTGCTGTTTAGGTTCTGTCAGAGGAGCTATTTTGATTTGTCCTGTCTGCACCGAAAATCCAGAGAGGGTGCTGCAGGAAGAGTAGAACTTTCTGGAAGCTTATCACTAAACCTTTTTTTTTTGTACAGGTAGAAAAGGAGGCCACAAAGGCCGAGCAAGACAGTACACAAGTCCTGAAGAGATTGATGCCCAGCTCCAAGCGGAAAAGCAAAAGGCAAGGGTACGTGTCTGCCTGTGTTATGTGCTTACTCTCATAAGTCCTGGCCCATACAGCAGGCTTAGCTTGCAGTTAACAGCAGCTTAGTCAAGTGTTGCAGATCGTTCTGTCGGTGATCACAGTGTGAATTGTGAATATCTGTGCCTGGAGAGACGGCAGGGTGTGATCCCATCTGGTTCCTCGCAGAAGGGAGGCCAGGCAGACCATCCAGTTCACAGTTTGAAGGGTAAAGGCTAGGGAAGGTGATTACACAGCAGCTCAAGACATCTTTTCCCCCGGCATTTCATCGTTCTAGTCTCCAGTGTCAGTTAATTGTTTTATCCGTGCTCTGCAGCTTGGCTGTGGAGAAAAAGGAGTCACATCTTCACATCTTATTGTATATTGAAATTATTACATTTACCCACTTGCTTTTCTAGACTTAAAAGACCAAACTCCTTTGACTTCTTCCTGTACACATGATTTTCTTGTTTGCCTCAGACTTGTAGGGAGAGATAACAGAGTTTTCTGGTCAGTCCTTTTTTGGGTGTGTTTCTGTGCCCCGACAGAGGATCGTGACAGCTCCCCCTGCTTCCACACCTACCTGAGTGGAGTTATACAAGGCGTGGCTACGTTCTGCGGTACCTGCTCTCATGTATTCCCAAATTCTCACAGCTACCGTGGCACTCTCACTGCTGTTGTGCTGTGACTTCCTGAAAGCGCTGCCTAGGCCCGAGTACACTGTTCCAGCTGAAACCTTACAGCACTGACTGCAGGAGGGTAATTATACCCCGTGTAGGAAACACTGATGAATACCTCCAAGAAGAAGATTACTTCTTCGAGCAGTTGTGAGCCATATTGTTGACTCCTTTTTAATGTTTTGGCCAGCTGTAACTCAAGACGATTGTGTGGTTTGCTGCTTAGCCACATATTCCAACTTTGTGTTGGATTTCTTCTTCCAAAGTAGAACTCCTCTTGGTTTGTTTTCTGATTCCACCTTCTTGGTGTCATGCCATCTTTCCAAATCCTGAAACCACTTACGGGCCTTGATGCTGTTTTCCAAAATGATTCCAGCTCCTACCAGCGCGATGTCATTCACAAAGTTTAAAAGTGTTCACTACTTCCGACTTGTTAATAGAAATACCAGCTGGAAATGGAACAGAACCAGCAGGACCCCGCTTGAAATGGCTGTCTTGTTTCAAAACAAACCAGAGAACTGCCCTTTGAGAAGGATTTCTTCTTTTTTGTGATAATCCATACTGCATAGCGATGGTTACATCTAATGCTATTTTGTTAGGGAAAGCTTAAAAAAAACCCCAATTAACAAAATTACTCCTCTTACTGCCCATAGCTTGTCCACTTCGCCAGCTGCTGTGATGAGGGATATTTGGCAATGGTAAAGCAAACTATTCATGCCCGTATTCATTCTTCTAATCCTATCTTCTAATGATCTACAGATTGTTTCCTAGACTGCTGACTTGTAAAAGCTGTGCTAAAAAGGCTGTAATTTGTTGGAGAATAATCTTCTGGTTGACGGTTGTCAATTTGCTCTTCCCTAGGTTTTTTTTTTTTCTGGATCTAGGATGGGATCCAGCTCTACGCTACATCCGTGTAGTTTCCAGTCCATGAGATAACTGTGCATGGGAAACCTGGGCCAAAATGTCTCCTGGAGATCTTTCATTTGGGGAGAGTGAAGTACCAGTTCTATCTTTTACAGTCCTTTTCCTGGCCTGTTACCCAGAGAGGACAGCAGAGTTGTTGAGCTGTGAATCTGCTGGGGCAGGTGATGCGCACTTAGGTGTTGAGAACGAGCTCTTGTTTCGTAGCAGCTGGGCACCCTTGGTGTCCTGAGGGCCACGCCAGGAACAGCAGTGCTCTCGGAGCCATCCCTCATCCCTCCAAAATGATCTTAAATTGAAAAGTCACCGTTGGATTTGGGATTTTTATTGACGTACATTTTCTCTAATTTCCTGTGATTTTGTAGGAAGAAGAGGAGCAAGAAGAAGGAGGCGAAGGAGCAACAGGGGACCCCAAAAAAGAGAAGAAGTCTTTAGATTCGGATGAGAGTGACGAAGATGACGACGATTATCAGGTAGTGTCACTGTCAGGGCACTTGAAGCATTTGCACCACCCAGATTCTTGGAGCGAGGTGCACGCTCTTGACTCTGAGCTCACTTTGAGAGCTACCTATGGTGAATTTTTTATGGAAGACCTATTTTTAGAAGCCCAAAAAACCTTACTTGACAGCATTTTGTCCTCCGAATGAAAACTTGTGAGTTTTTATAAGTGAAATGCAAAGGCAGGAAGGTTTCCAAAAAGGCTGAAGACACCTGCTGGCGTGAATCTTGGTTCATCAATGGTTTTGCTGTCTGGTAGTAAAAACGTCTTGAATTCTGCTTTTGGGGCATGTTGCAGTGTGTTTGGTGAGCTCTGATGCAACGCAGCATTGGGTATGCGAGAGCTGCTTAACCTTCCTCTTGTTCTTGAACCTTAGCAAAAGCGCAAAGGAGTGGAAGGGTTGATAGACATCGAGAATCCTAACCGCGTCATTCAGACAACCAAAAAAGTAACTCAGCTGGACCTGGATGGACCGAAGGAGCTCTCGCGACGAGAGCGGTGAGTCTTCCCAGGAGCTAGCGTGTTCCTGGAATCGCACCCTTCCTGCTGGCAGCAGCTTAGCACGGGGAGGTGTTTCCCTGCTGTGTAAGCGTTGGTGGTTGAGGGAAGCCCTTTAAATACGTTGTTGTCGAAAGCAGACACTGAACAGCAGCGGACTGCCAGGCAGGACTCCCTGTGCTGCAAAATGTCTTTCCTCCAAACTTCACAGAAGGTGTCTGTCCTCTGGGAGTAGCCTTGGGCATCCAGGAGCCGGGCAGCTCAGCCAGGTGCACTAACAGAGTGAAGTTTGTCGCTGGGAAGTGGATGTAGGGCATTCCTTTCCTGAAGTTTTATGCCAAAAAAATCAGGCGTAACAGAAATCCGTTAACTAGAGGTCACCCTGGACTTGGCTTCAGTCTTGCTACAGGAGGTGCCCTGCTGACAAGGTAGCGGTTTCCCAGATCCAAGGCATCATGGTGAAGTTTTTGTCTGAGCAGATGATGAGAACCAAAGTTTAATCTTCTAGTTTCGTTTAGTTCATTTAGTTTCATCTTTCTAGTTTTATTGCCCAGGGAGGTGGTTGGGTCCCCGTCCCTCGAGGTGTTTAAAAACATGTAGATGTGGCACTTCAGGATGTGGTTTAGTAGGAACGGTGGTGTTGGGTGGATGGTTGGACTCGATGATCTTAGAAGTCTTTTCCAACCTATGATTCTGTGATTCAGCAATGAAGAGTTTCAGAGTGAAAGATTTCAGCTTGCTTCTTTGGGACAGATTGCTTCAGCAGAAGTACGCCTTCGAGGGTGGGAGGCTGGGACAAACACATCGCGGTGCTGTGCAGTCTGGGGCCGATTCATCTGACCTCGTTGTGTGTCAGTGTCCTTGTTTAGCTGAATTGTCCCTGTTCAAACCCTGTGCTTGAAACCCCCAGTCTCTGTGGGCAGTCCACCCCTGTCCCTGCTGTCCTTCCCCGTCCGAAAGCCTCCCCCTCGCTGCCTGTCCCCGGGTGCGCTGGTGACTGGTGTGTTTCGCTCAAACAGGGAGGAAATAGAGAAGCAGAAGGCGAAAGAAAGATACATGAAAATGCACCTAGCTGGCAAAACGGAGCAAGCGAAGGCAGATCTCGCCCGGCTAGCCATCATTCGGAAGCAAAGGGAAGAAGCTGCCAGAAAGAAAGAAGAAGAAAGAAAAGGTTAGCGAGTGATTGCTCATGTCCTCTTCCTTCTCTTTGCAATGGCTGCGCTGCCCAGAGGCAGGGTTTCCCACGGCACATGTAGCAGTCCCTTGTCTCCTGAGACCGCCTGGGGTTGCCGAGTGCCATCACAACTCCTCTCATCAGAACCAGGTTCAGCCGTCTTGTCCTTACAAAGCTCTTTGTAAAGCCCCAGGACATCTCAGCAGGGAGCAGGGGGAGAGAAGGAATCACCCTCAATAACCGTATTGCCCTCAGCCTCCCGGGAGGTGCTGGCTCCGGGTTGGGGTTGTAGCGGGTTCGCTGTGCTGGCTGTGGTTGATCTGCTGGGATCCCGACTGCCCAGGGGGTTGGCAGCTCCTCCCCTGCCTGGCCTTGCTCTCCAGCTCCCGTAGGTGTGAGCCAGGCGTCAGATGAGCGTGTCTCCTCAGTGCCTTCCACTGAGAGATCTGTTCATCGGCAGCAGGGTAGGCTGTGCAGGCCTGGAGAGGGGCCAAGGACAGGACGGGACATGTGGGGGGGCTGCTCCTCTTAACTGGAGGGGATCTCGCAGGGACTGGCCGGGTTTTCTCCCGTCACCTCGCTGTACAAGGCTGGCAGGATCACAGTCTGAGGGGCTGTCACGCCACCAGCAGTCCCTGACAGATGCTGCAAAGTGACGAGCCCCTCTGTTCTTTTCCTCCCCCCCAGCAAAAGACGAAGCGGCCATGGCAGGTAAAAGACTGCAGTCACTATCCCTGAACAAGTAAGCACAGGACACGCGAGAGGAGGAAACGCCGGGGAACTGTGCCTGGTGCCTGCCGGGAGCTCCGTCGTGTTGCGTACCACCGATGCCACGTCGGGCGCACTGCGGCATCGACGTCACCTCCACCTCCACGAGACACCGACGACGTGTTTGTCCTCATCCTGGCACAGATTTCCATTTGGGGTTAGGGGCAGCTGCTATTCTCGGTGCGGAACTGTGCTGAACAGCAATTCTCTGTAACAGTTTGGAAACCTGAATGTTTTTGGGAGGGGGGGTTGTTGCGGGGTGGGGCGTGGGGTGGGGAACTCGGACTTGCTGGGGACAGCCCGAAGGATCCTGTATCGAGGAATCCTTCGGGAGCAAATGGCCCGTCAAATGTCGCTGCGGGGCGTTGCGGTGTGAGCTGGGAGCCTGACTTTGTGGACATCTGGAGTGCCGTTCCTTCCCGGTTTCATCCCTCCTTTCTTGCAGCCCGTCTCCTGTTTTCCCTCCTCTTCATTATTTTTTTTTCTCCTTACTAGAGATAGTGCCAGTTTTTAACCACATCATCCTTGGTTTAAAGGAAAAAAAGCCCAACATTATGTGTATCTGACCCAGATGGAGGGGGGGAAAAAAGCAAACCCCAAAACTTGATAAAAACCAACAGCAACAAGAGAACTTGTATATTTGGCTGATTAAAATGTAAATTATCGTAGCTGCTCTGTGCTCTGGTGTGTGCGAGTGAACGCGGGCGTGCGAGGGGCGGCAGCAGCCTGGCGACGCGGTGATTTTCTGCGTCTGCTGCTCGGCTCTGTGCCGGTTGTGGGTGTGGGCTTTGGCTCGAGGTTCTGGAGCTCCGTTGGTGGATGCAACCTGAAGGCACGAAGCCTTTCCTGACGTCTCCGATGGACGCTTTGCGTCCATC